ATATATATATATATATATATATATATATATATATATATATATATATTCGCGATACTATATCGATATCGATAAACGTTGGATAAGGGAAAAATTTTGGAAAGCGATATGAGCTGAGGAGAGACGATATATGGCGATCGGTTGACGAAGCGCGACGCGTTAAACGAAGCGCGCTCATATAGGTTATATCACGCAGTCATGTAGGTTAGGTTAGGCTATCCCCGCCGGCAGGCGCGTATAGCAGGGAGGCCGCGCAGGGTCCGTCATGTGACTGGAGGCGGAGGCACCACACCCCCCGTGGGGTGCAACGAGAAGGGGAAGGTCGGTGGTGGACGCGCCGCAGGTGCGGGCGGGCGGGCTGACGAAGCGAAAGGGAGGATGAGGAGGTAGGGAGCGTGGTTTACGAAGGGTGGCTGTCGAGAGGAGTTGGGGGGGCGCCGCGGCGCCTCTCTTGCCTCGAGCGCAGTGCGACGTCGCGACGCGCCACGTGCGGTGGCAACACACACCGGGGGAGGTACAACGTACAAAAGTCACTTTCTTCCTTCCCATCGTGTATCGTCGCGCTCAACGCCGTTTTCATCCTCGTCCACACGCGTCTTTATCGTGCTACACCGGTCCACTTCTTGATATTCCGAAAATTTCGTGTCCTATTACCGCAGGGTTCTGCTATCGTAGTGTTCACCGATTATATAAGGGGGCCATCGTTCTAAGTAGTCGCGGTGAGGGTGTGAGAGCGAGAAAGAGAGACAAAGAGAGTGAGATAAAGGGAGAGAGAAGAGAAGAAAGAAAGAGAGAGAGAGAGAGAGAGAGGAGCGAGAAAGAAGGGGGAGGGAGGACGGAAAGAAGGAACGAGAAAGAGAGGAAAGGAGAGAGGCACGAGTCGAAGGACGGAGCAATATCGCACAAGAAAAGGCGAAAGGTATGGGGAGGGGAGGCGAGTAAAAGAGAGGGCAAGAAGGGGATCGAGAAGTCGATGAGAAAGAGAGGAAGACGCGGGTTGCATTTCGAATTAGCCTTTGCTAATCTAGCCGAGTATTAGGTTACCGGGCCTTGGATCGTGTTTGTGAATAAGCGTGCGCGAGTGTGTATTCGAAAATAAAAGGACAACCGAGTCGACGATATTTCGTGTTTTCGACAAAGTCGACCCAGAGAATGTTTATTATTCGCGAGGAGGTCGAAAGCTTTGGAAACGCGACAATATCTTAACGACGCACATTACGTTCGGTGTCGCGTCGCGCCGCGCACGCTTGCCTTGCGTTTCGCGAGTCGTCGACACGATGGATCCTTGCGAGGCCACTGACACGAGTGAAAAGAAGATGCGTTTGTAATTTTTCTGTCGTGTTTATGCGTTCTCAAACGTGAGTCGAACGACGTATCAATCGGCGAGAACATCGCGAGTGCTTTTTCGAACGATCGTCCTCGTGACGTGTGACGTTGCACCATTTTCGCGCTCAAAAAAACGAACGGACTGCTTGTGACTCTGTGATTTTGAATTTTTTGTCATCTGAGACTGATTTCGGTGTGATTTGGACGTGAATAATCGATCATTCGTCTTGAAAAACTTGTGGTAAGTACGTTTTCCGTTTTCTCTTTTAATTTTACGTTGTTTCGTTCTTTCGATACGTGACGAATGACATTTAGGTTATCTTGCATCGTGTACAGGTTACGTGAACGCGTTTCGTATTCAATTAAAAAGAATTAAATGTTATATTTATCTAATTAATCCTAATGTATCATAATTTTAAGAAATTTTAAATCAATTTTACTTGTATTTGTTCCTTTTTTCTCAAAATGTCTGTAATTTTAAGTCGATAATAAGGATATTCATCTATGTAATTTTTACTTCGTTGTTTACTAAATGTCAGATTTATCGTTTCCTTTATTTTTTACGATGCTTGGATATCTACACGTTTAAAAAGTGAAATTTACATAATTCATACTTTCTAATGCTGATCGTATCTAATTATAATCGTAATATCTACACAATAAGTATGCATTGTTGGACTATTGCCGATCGAAAGCATGAAGTAATATGATAATTAGATTGAAATTATAAATCTGAAATATCTCGACGTAAAATAGGATAATAAATAATTCAAAGTGATGGAAATATGTATTCGTTGAGCGTGATGACTAATCAGAAAATCACCGTGTACCGGAATGGCTCGGGTTATCTTTTCGTTTTGTGAAAGTGTTTACAATTAAAAGGCAGTTGTGCTACCTCGGGGAGTTGTATTTAACTTTGCTTAACTAAGTTCTCGATCCGTTGACGGAACGCCCGGGGGATTTGAAACGTCGACAGTGTAATTCACATTTTTTTCGCTGACTTTCGGTTCCGTCTATTTCTTCGTAATTCTCTTGGTTATTCAATTTCTTTTATGATATTATTATTTTCGTTTATTTTTTTTTCCGTTCATATTATTTTCAATTTTTCGTTTATCTTTCATCAAATTCGTGTCAAGGATTTTGGAATATTCGTTTTGTTTGACGTCTTTTAAAATTCGGGTATCAAATATGGTCGTGTAAGTAGAGATTAGGTTAGGTTAGATTTTGATCTTGTATCGCTATATAGGAATAAATGCATCGTTATTAATACATTCGAAATATATTGTTACAAATAGTCGTTGCGTTGATTCCATTTCATTTTGTTTCGAAAATTGTTGAACAGTTGTATGAAAAAATACTTTTGCATAAATATTAAATTTTTTCGGCTAAAATTAGCGACATTTCCATTGGTTTTTTCCCATGGTGAATTTTATTTCGGTGCGTTAGATTTATCTGAAAATTGGATGCTTTGAATCGTGGTATGCACATTAATATTTGCTTATTTATTTCTGTATAAACGAAATTACTTTTATTGTCCCTTGTAATATAGCGTATTAATAATGAATGAGTACAGAAATGAAAGCTGTGGAAATAATATAAAATTGCGTAATAGAGGAAATATGAAACAGAAAATAAACGAATTATAAAAATAAGAATTATTTGATAAATGAAAAGTTTAGATTTATATAAGCAATTAGTAATATAATAAGTATTAAGAATAGGATAATATGCGATAAATTATTTGAAAATTCATCATCAAGCGCACAGTATAAGAATGTAATGATTTAATTAGTATAATATTTTAATTATAAAATTAAATTTAATAAAATGATGTAAAAGGAATATCAGATTATTCGTCGATAATTTTTAATAATTAATTATTTTTAATAATATTTATATTATACAATATAAAAGATTAGAAAATATTATTGCGTAAAATATTTTATATACCATCTAGTAATATTTTAAATTATACAATTCCTACATATATTATAATTTTTTACAACTATTATAATTAGTAAATTTATAGAAATATGTAACAAAAAATATACTTTTTTTCTTATAAATTATTTTTTACTCCAGAACACATTGCACGTTGTCGAAGCCACCGACGGAAGATGCCGCCGACCGATCGTCTTGGGACGTGAGTGAAAATTTCCATATCGACAAAGTGCCGATCAGCCACGGGTTTTAAGGGTCCACAACATTTTTACAATCACGGAGGACAGTAACAACAATATGTCGTACCTCGCTCTGGACTCCAACGCCTGGCAGGTAAGTGTTAAATTCAGTTTTTCACTTACATTTTCATGGAAACATCAATTCTGAACAAAAATAACGGAACATCTATGTCATATATGTAAAGCTAGATTAGATAGAATAATTTTTTAACAATTTGATCGTATAAAATAACTTGGAAAAGTCTTCTTATATATTCTATAAAAAGATTATTTTTATTAAAATAAAATCTTACAAAGATTAAAGTTAGTTTTATAGGCACCAAAAAAGTTAAGGTTCTTTTTTAATAAAAATAATCTTTTTAGCGAAGAGGTGCAATATATTTTTTTCGTTAATTCTATCGAGAGTTAACGGAGTATTTTTCATCGGAGATTATTTTTATTCACTACTTAGCAATCGTTCCATTAAATGTTCTACTGGCACAGTCCCTATTAATTATCTTTCCACAATAGGGAATAACTCGAACGATTCAATTAATTCGGCTCTATCGACATGTGTTAACCCGTGCAAAAGTCAAGGGAAATGCTCGGCGAACTGTTGCGCACAAAAGTTGGTTCGAATGATATGTAAATGCAATTACATCGTGTAAATACTGTAGTTGTACGGCGAACAGAGGTAACACGGCGAAGCTGTGCCGTTTAATTCGCGGAAAGTGCAATAATTTAGATGGTAAATATTTGTTGACGAATAGATTGCTTTTATGGGCGTCGAGTTCTGCACTCGATGAATTCACGTTGTTCATTTTGCCACGCGCGTTAGGAATCATTGGCGTGTTGAAAATAGTAGTATAAAATGTCTAGAACATGGACGCAAGTAATATTCAATATAGCGGAATTGAGATCGAATGTTAAATAGCTCTGATAAGAAAGTTGAACGAGGTCTGTGTGCTATTGTTGCGCGATACAATTTGATGGAACTTGTAATACACGTAATTTCCTCAAACAATGTGGCTACAAACGATAGATAAGTTACTCGATGAACTTCAATACGGTTTAGCCTTAGATTTGTTCGCGAAGTTTTACACATTACTCGATCGTGACATCCTTTTTTGTACAAAAATCCATCCTTGTGAAAAAATAAAACGATAATCTAATTCTAAACTATTTTCCATATTTTTTAAAAATATATTATCTCGATTTATTTACTCAAAAATATAACGATTTAATTACCTCACGATTCTTTCTCTAATTTTAAAAAAAGAATTAATCAACAAAGCAGCTGAAAGAGGACACGATGATTTATCCCGATCAAATTTAACATTCGATCTCTTGGAAACGCAGACGGAACTAATTTCCCTCCGCGACACTCGAGAACTAGGAAATAGGATTTTTAAGGTAAACGGTCGCGTGCCCCAATTTCGGCCTATTATCACGAACTCGCGTCGATAGTCGGGCCTCGGGCATTCCTAATAAACGTGGCAGATCATCGGGGACAGATCAATCTTCTTCCGTGATCGGGCGACGATCATCGAGGTTCCTCCCCATTCATAAAGCAGCCAACCATGCGTCAGATACGGATCGAGCCGCGGCTCCCTTTTCGCCGGTTAATTCTCCACCGACGTGGTTGCAGTCATTATCGAGGCAAATTAGCGACGCCTGATTCGTGTACCGACATTCTGTGTGGGGAACCAGTTTGCGCGATTACGCCTGCGTTAAGGCTGAAAAACGTTCATTTATAAAACAGTGTACGCCTGACATTATTTCGTGACGTTATGAGTTTAACCGTTTTTTTTAGAAAGTTAATTGGGTGGGTTCGATTCAATAGTTTCGAAAGGGATTATTATTTTTATTTTTCAATGTGTTGGAAATTTTTAGCATTTATTTTTTATTGTAAATTCCATTTCACGGAGAATATTTTAAAATGGAGAGTGGGGCGCACGCGGCATGGAATGTGTAAAAAAAAAAAAGGGAGAGATCGCAATTTTAAAAATATCGGGAATCATTAGGCATTTATTTCGAGAGGAAGTTAATAACGTTTTTAGTTGGAATATTGATATTTCTTTCTCTGTTGTAAACCACTTGAAATTTATTCATTTGTTCAACAATTGATATTAGTGATTTATTAACGAGAAGCAATTGTTCATCTCTTCGTTGGAGTATTCTCCAACACTCTTGGCGGATGTTATATAGGAGACCAGTTGGAAGTATTGAATCAGAGGTGGTCTCGAAAAATTAATCGCGCACGCCAGACTTTCGCTCGAAAGAAAGAAACTTCTCGTGGCGATAAAAAGTTAATAGGATCACGGTGGAAACGTAAAAAGGGTCGTTCGTGCGATGAAAAACGCCGGGATATATTCGACACAGTATGGCGTGTATCAAGATTCCCCTTCGGTAGCCACGGAAATCACATAGCGACGGGAGGAAATGTAAGGCCTCGACCATAGCGGATAACGGAAACAAGTTTAGGCAGACTCGGTCCATATCGAATTATATTGTTAGAGAACTTCAACCTAGCTTTACCTAGGCTTCGCGCAAAAGACGATGGTTTTGATGTTGTAACTTCTCTTCCGGTCCAGAGAATACGTATTTAGAATTCATCCCCGCGAGAGATAAAGCGCGAAACATCGTTTCATACGCGATGAAAAATTTGATATTTCGAGTTTTTACGTTATATATCTATCTTTCACGCGTTTATATATACATATATATATATATAAATTTCGATCGTCGTTTGTCGTTGTTGCAAATTGCACGAATTAAAAACGCAATTATATCGTTCGATACGTTTCGAGCGAAATATGTATTTCATCGAACGTACAATTAAATTCGCGATCCGATTTACATTCTTCGTGTAGCGACGAATTACGAAATAATATATTTTTGCATAAAAATTAACGCGTGCACATTCTTCTTCACAAATTCCATTCGCTTGCACTCGATTTTCGACGCGGGAAAGCTGTCGAGACGGAAGAACGAGATAAAAAAAACAAGAGGAGAGAGAAGGAGCAAGGGAGGGGTTAAGAACAGTATTTGCACATTTTCCAATAAAGTATGATGCGTGCGCGTGGCAAAGGCGAGCATCGCCTCGTGTCTTTGCTTGAAATAACAGGGGTGCACACGTACGTGGAATTAATACTTGGCTCCCACGTATCGTTCTGGACTCGTCTCTCTTGCTCGACCCTCCGTCCTCGTCCTCACGGCTGTTTGTCCGTTCCACCGCGACTTCCACCAATCTTGCCCCCGATCGGGCGGCCGGTAAACGATAGGAAAACCACGAAGGCAAGCACGGCTCGTCCTCACGAACAACATACGGCCAATATTTCATCTAGGCTGGTCGCACACGCGTGTACGAGTGCACACGTGCGCGCACACGTACACGCATGCGGCCGGAATCAGAAGAGTTAAGAGGCTGGAACCGCGGTCTCGTGTCCCCCGCATATTTGTCTTCGCCATCCACTCGACTTTCGCGCTCGTGTTCGCGCGTTGAAACGATCGTCCTCGTGGGGAACTGGGTGCGTGCACTCGATTAAGCGAACAAGGAGGACCAGTCGTGTTTTACGATTTCCCTAGAATCCCTTTGACGCCGCGACAACCACCGGTATAAATCGGCCCCTCCATTGTGGAAACCCCGTGTAAACCCTTCGTCTTCGCCTCAACTCGATTCGTCGAATCGATCGGAGGATTATTATTGCTTCGGACGATGATGAATTTTACGATGAGATTCGAATATCACCAGTCGTTTTCGAACAACATCGCATCTCGAAAGAAGGAAAAAAATCGTTATTTTTTACGAGGGACGATTAATTAGATGGGGAAGTTTTAGATTTACGAATCGTTTTCGGAGGAGGAAAGGAAAATTGTTTGCCCTCGGTTTTCAATGCTCGATTACTTCGATCATTTGTCTCTTCATCTTGGGCCTAATGCGTGATTCATTGCTTTGCATGGCGAACAGGAACGTGCATGGAACAGTTGGTGGCTACATCAAAAACCCTGCGCACTTCAAAGTTGCTCGATCCGTGTAACAGCCCACCACCGAAGGAGAGGGTTGAGGGTAGGGCAGGGGTGGCTCGATTGCGCGGAGGATAAGATGGAAAAGGAAGGGCGAACGAAAAATAAATGATACCCGAATTAGCGTAATCGTGTGATGGTTTCACGGGGGAGATCCTCGCGCATCGAACGGGTATCACGAGGGACGAGAAATTGAATTTCGATTTCATTCTCCCCGTTTGACGTTTGCCGCCGTGCGGCCCCGGAGATTTGCGGATTGTAAAACTGTCAAAAACTTTTTCCAACGATCTTTCTGAAAATTCTTTTAATATCGAAGTAATATTTCGATTCTCGAACGATGTATCCAATATCGTATAATCATTTAACTGTACGATAACATCGTTGCGCAGACATATTATTTGCTCTATTCATCGAACATGGTAATTTCGAAGGACTCGTTTATTATTTTTAATATTTACACGTGTATCAATAATCTTCATTTTCACGAATTTTCTTCAACTTTGGCACGCATTTCGAAATTGATGGGTAAGATCGATAAACGTACACGTACACGTGGTGTGTATATCAGTAGTCTAACGGGATACGATTCGCTCAATTGTTATTTATTCTGTACAGGCTGAAACGCAACCAGAGAAACGGGTAGAGCAGTCGTGGAAAGGGAGACATGTAGCGTAAACTAAGCTCCGCTTTGTTAGCGTTCAAACTTCGATGCGGAGCGAAACTGGAATTCTCTAAAATGTACGCGGCTGATGTTCAGTAATTATAGTTCCACGGGCGAGTCACGTACGCAGCGTGCCGCAGCACGCAAAGGGTTGAATAAAAGATGATGAGCTGATGTTGGCCGAGCCACTGCGATGCCAAACATCCGTGATAGCCCCTCCCCCCCCCCTCCCCTGAAAACGTTGGTTAACCCGGTGACAATGCGGAGAGCGAGGTCCATTGTCACCCCCATCGGGCACAAAGGGCCGCCGCCACTTTGTTCCATGCGCGCTTATGTACACCGTGCCATGTCACGGGACACACGTTCCTGTTTAATGCACAAGGCAAATTCGGTTCCACGACGCGTTGCCATTCTTCCGTCAGAGATGA